TGGGCCGTTACGGAATGTTCGGGTGCGCCGGCAGGTATTTGAGTTTCCACCAATTAAGACTTTTGTGCCGCGGCTGTGCCCTGGGGTTGCAATTGGTGAAAAACAGTTGGAGGGGTTTGCGACCTTGCGTTCCAACTGGGACTGCATTGATCTTCGTCGCGAGACTGGGGTTGTGACAATTTTTGGTATGCCAACACGAAAGGAAAGCATCATTCTTGCACTGAGGAATTCAATCAACTACATGTCTGCCACGGAAGCTGTGTCACTCGTTGGGCAAGAGGTGCTTGTTGGCTTTCCGCACTATCGTCGTGCCCGTGTCACGTCTATCAGTGACAAGCGCATAAGTGTCCGTGCTGTCATGACGCAGGATGGCGCTTTTTGTGGCACGGAGACCAAAGAACTGAACCGTGACGAGTCTCTCAATTTCACGAAGGAGTGTGATACACATATCCAGTACATGAAGGAAAAACTTGGCATTGCTGTGGACGGGATTCAACTGCTCGTGTACGTCAACCTTTTTAGCACCATGCGTCTTACTCGCAAGGGTCGTATTGTTCGAAGTTTTTCAAAAGATGAAGTTTGCTACGCCATGCAACTCGTGGCGCGCCTGCAGGATGTGGAAATGATAGAAGATCTTCGTTATGTGGAGCGTGACCGCGTTGAAGGGGAAATGAGCCTCGGTAACAAAGTTGTTTTTATTGGTCCCGAACCAAAGAACAAGAAATCCCAAATGCAAGTGTACGGCAGTGCTGGTTTAGTATTTGAATCCGCCTCATCCAACAGTGACATTTACGCCGTGGCAGTGCGGTTATATCAAGAGCCCCTTGTGATTCCATCATCGCTGTTATCATTTGCCGCCCCACGCAACTGGATGGCGCTGCATGAGGTGGCAACGGAGCTTTCTGTGGGTTCTCTCGCCCTACGTTTATTGGTTGGCTCACTGCGCACCACACCGCAGTACGGCTCACGTGAATTGGGATTGGGTCTCATTTACGCACGTAACCATCTTGCCCGTATTGGCTACGCGAAACTTGTTCCGCGTCAGACGAACGCATGGACACCGTACAATGAAGATGTCTTTGCAAGACTTGCGCAAAACGCGGAGCCTGCCGCCCACTACTTGGATAGTGCCGGCAGGGGCGACTTTCTTGGCTGCTCAAGCCGTACGCCACAATACACAACGTGGTTCTCGCGTGAAGCAGTTGCGCTAATTCGTCGATATGTGGAGGAATTCCAACCACTTGTTAAGCGACTGGAAAGTGGGACCGCCGCTCCACAGGCCCTGGAGCCGCCACAGTTTATGACCGGAAAATGGCAGGAGATGGAGGTGGATGATGTGCTTACAGAGATGGAGGCCTTCATTGATGCCTCTGGCATCCGTGACGTGGCACTTATCGCGGCCAGCGACGATGCCTTTACTCGCGACCACCTGCGGGAGTTGGAGGATGAGCTTGACCGACAACAGCCGCGCCCCACAAAGGAGCTTATACTAAATCCTGTGGTGAAACGCCACTTGTACTTCCCGCTCACGCATAGCAGCGGTGGCCACATTACCCAGCTGCCGCTGCCGCAGGATCAGATATTTCGTCTCGGGGCACGCGTCGTCAACTGTCGAGCCGTCGGTTCTGTTCCGTTTGGTGCGGTAGGCACAATAGTTAGGCTGCTTGCCACAAGCCACGATGCAGAGGTGGTTTACGATGAACCATTCACAGGCGGAAGTCACTTTGATGGCCGGCTGCGGCAGCCGCGCGGTGGTCTGTCAAAGTTGTCCTCGCTGCTTGTGCTCAACAGGCCTGGGGATGATGATGGCGGCGGGGCCGCGACTGAGTCGGAACGCACCACCGTGTCCATCCTTAGGGCCCTTATGCAGAAGTCTCAACAACAACAACAACAACAGCAGCAGAAAAGGGGTTCAGTGCCGATGGCCGAGAGCGTTTCGGTCATTCCAAAGCCGCGCAGCGCAACGGAAGACGCGTCAGTGTCGAAGACGGTGACTGGAATGGTGCCAGCATCTGCCGCAGTCACAATATCCGGTGGTGCTGGCGGGATAAGACTATCGGATCTTGTCGGGAAACTCAAGGCTTCGCCAGAGCATAGCGACGCCGCATCCATCACGCCACCGACGGTCCCGGAGGAGCAAAAAGATGCCCGTCCATCCCCTGTTTCACTGAAGCCCCAAGTTGCCATCACGACCAACACGTCTTCTGTTGCCGCGGGCAGCAACGACAAAAAGGGCAATAATGGCAACTTGGGTGTTAATAACACCCCGCCACAGGTGGAGACCCGCACTTTGATTCCTGTTCAGAGTGGCATTGAAAATAATGCCGTTGTTGAGAACCGTCTTCAAATGCATCTGCGCAGTGGCGGCAGTCCCGAAGAGAATAACAGTGGCAAGAGGCTAAAGATGACGTTTACTGTCCCGCGGGAAATTGCAAGCGGCGAGTTCACCATTCGTCGCGGCGAGGCAGTGCCGTTTTTTAGGCGTTTGCTGAAGTTGCGCCTTTCTGAGGAGCTTGGCAAGACAACAACGCATAGGTAACATGAAGTGAACAAGGCAATACACCATAATAATAAAAAAGGAAAAAAAAAGTAAACGGGAGAGGGACGACAGTAGATGAGGTGTGTGTGTGTGTGTGTAGGGTGGGGGGAAAGGGTCTGCCCCGCTGCTCTCCCAATCCCCTTTTCCTCATTTCTTCGTCCACAAGAAATAAAATAAATCCTTTTTGTTTCTTTGTGTGTATTTTTGTTTAAGGAAAAGGGAGTGAAAAGCAAAAAAAAAAAAAAAAATGCCACCGCTTATAGACCAGGGCCAATTTTGTATAGGTGAAACGGTGAATTGGATGCATGCATGCTTAGATAATTATACAAACACGAGCATATATATATATATATAATATTTGTATGCGTGTATATTTGTTTTATTAAATTATATACATGTATTTGCCTGCATTTGTTTTACTCTTTTTGTGCAATGCTTCTGTACTAATTTGTACGCAGAAATACACATGGAGGCAATTGTATCTTTGTAGTTCTGGGGGGGGGGGGACAGAAAAAAGAAAGGATGGAGAACTGTGGGGGGGGAAAGGAAATCGATCATATATATATATATATAATTTTGATCTTGAATATGCGATGAAAACCCAGGAGCGATGGGGGGGGGAAAGAAGAAGAGAAGAGAAGAGGGGGTGGGGTTGTGAACAATCCAATTAATTTCTCTCTCTCTCTCTTTCTGCTTGCCTGTCTGCCTCTGGAGGAGGAGGAAAGGGGAAGGGGCAAGACAAAGGGGAAAAACGTTGAAAAAAAAACAAACAAATAAATTTTTTTTTTTTTTTCCTGGGAAGCGGGGTGGGGGTTGTGGGTGGGGGGGTTGAACATTTTTTTTTTTTTCATTATTTTTATATTTATTATTATTATTATTATTATTATTTATTCGATTGAAAATAAAAACAGAATCTTAAAGAAAAGGAAAACGAGGCAAAAAAAAAAAAAAAATGAGTATATGTATGCAGCTGCAGTTCCAACACACACACAAAAGCGCACAGAAAGACAGGCAGAGAAAAAGGGAGGGGGAGAGAGACGGTGAGTGTTGCGTGTGCGGTTCGCTACGGAGAAGAGAGATGCGGTGGACTCAGATGAGCTCCCACGACCGCAATGGCACCCGTGCATTGCTTTTATTTATTGAGGGAGCGTTTTCTGTCTGCTCGTCTTTTTTTTTTTCTTCTTCTTCGTCTTCTGACGCCACGCGACTTGCATCGCACCACCTTACCGTTGCCTTTTCTTTTTTTTTTACCCGTGAGGTCTGTGCTCGTCTGTTTCTCTCTCTCCCTCTCTTACTGAGTCTCCGTGTGTGTTTGTGTGTGTGTGTGTGTTTGTGTACATGCTTTTTTGATTTGTCTGCTGGCTTTCGGTGAGGCGGGCCATGCCTGCGTAATGCACATCTCCTGAAATGCATGCAGTAGGCGTATGTGTGTCTGTGTGGCACAATTATTTCTTTTCCACCGCTCTGCATAACTGCTGCGCACACCCACTCGCACAACGAGGAGGGGTGGGAAAGGAATTAGTTAGAGAAACTTTGAGGGAAGAGAAAGAAGAAGAGACTGGGAAAAAATTGATTTTAGCAAAATGACCGACGCATTGTTCGGACTCTCCAGTGAGTCACGCACAATCCTTGATCGATACCTGCAGTGGACTCGTCTGGCATGTGACGGACTGAAGCGCGGCGTCCATTTAGATGCTTTCAACCACCAGGTGGGAAACATAATTCAGGAGACGTACACAAGGGATGAACTCAAGGACATAATTAGCGCCCATACCGAGGTGTTGCTTCACTCGCTGGATGCCCGCATGGAGGGGTTTGGGGCTGCCTCAGCAGAGCTGCTGTGCGCGGTCCTCCGGGACGCTGATCGTCAACGAGTGACGATTGGAGTGGATGCCAACGCAGTGCTCAGTGCTGCTACTGCCACGGCTTCCGCGGCTATGGTGGGGACGACGGCTACCGGTCTGCTGCTGGATCATGAAAGGAAAGTCCTGGGTGGACCGCGTGGTCGTCTTGCGCCATTGACGGTTGCCGACGCTGATGTTGAGGCCAGTCGGCAGCTCACTGAGGCAAAGGAAGAGATACGCCGCCTTCAGGAGAAGGTGCACCACCTCTCAGACGCATACGCTCAGGTGATGAACACGCGGGATGCCCTCAACTCACATGAGGCAGAAGTGACAGCATCTCAGATGGCGGTGCACCAAAAAGAGCAGGACGAGGGTTCTTGCCAAACAGTTGAGGAACTACGCGTCGCGTTGGCAGCGGCGAAACAGGAATTGAACGCGCGACTAAATCAGTCCACGCAATATCGGGAGGTGAAGAAGATCTTGGCGCAGAAGAACGAACAGATTAGGAAGCTGCGGGCTCACCTCGCGCAGTTCGATCCTGCGTTCCTGCAGAATGATGATGGCGGTGGCGACACAATAGTTGAGCAGGATGATTAAGTTGCGAATTAACATAGTGACGCATACTTTTAGGCGGTGGGGGTGGTGGCTACAGCAAAGAAGGGTGTTTTGTTTTAAGCTGGAGTTAGAATTAAGGCAGCGAAAGCAAAAAGTGGACGAATAAACGAGAAGATTGTAGGAATTGTATGCATTTTTTCCTGTGTATTTATTCATTTTGTTGTGTTGTGTGTATCCCCGTGTTACGTATTCTCTGAGTGCACATATGTGCACACATATACACATACGCGTATGCATAAAGAGAGAGAAAGAAAGAGAGAGAGAGAGAGAGGGATGCCTCATGTATATTTTTTGTTGTATGTGTGTGTATGTTTGTTTTTGACTTTATGGGGTGTTGATGAGGGTAATGTTTTTGGTATTTATTTTCTTTTTTGGCCTTCTTGCCCTCCCTTTTTTTTTTTTTTTTTTTTATGGGGGAGTTCTTTTCTGTGATTTTTCCCTTTTAGTACGAGCCGTGGTCGGCGTGTTGGATGGGGGTTCGTAGTGCTGGTGGGGGTGGCACGGTGGTGTTGGCTGGCAATGTCGGTATCACAGCTATTCTCGCTGGCCTTGCCATTGTGCTTTCCGCTGTCACTTACATCGCAAACAGGCGACGCACAAACGAACCCCATTTGCCAGGCCACGTCTCTTTGCGTGGGAAGCGTGCGGTTGAAGAGCGCCACGGATTACATGGGAATAGTAATAACAAAACTGGGGGCGTAACTGGGACTGGGGGTGGTGGGAGTGCAAGCAGACAGACGGGAGGTGTGGGAGGCGGTGGTGGAGGGGCAACGACAGGACCCAAGTCATACTGCGCGCTGCGGGCTGAGCGACATGTGGGCCAATACAACGCCAACCTACTCGAGTGGAGAGATGACGTTATAGGGGTGCGCATGCTCTTTTCTCCAATTCTCTTTGCGGTGGAGACGGAGGAGCGGCAGGCACCGCTGCTGCTCGTTGCTCTGCGTTACTTGCGTCAGCCAGAGCATCGTGTAGCCGTCATCATTGAGTCATGTGTCACAGCGGCAACGGCAGAGGAGTACCGCGACGGTAGCCTTGCCCGGATACGTGACTGTGTCAAGCTTTTGTCATGTGGCATCACTCGTATTGGCGTCACTTCACACCCCTCCGCGGAGTACTGTTATATGGACGCGGGCAACAATCTCCGCTATGCCCTATCCGTGTTTCTTACGCATGGAAATTTGGCCGTCACTGCGCAGTACGTCGCTGACACACGCGTCAAGGGAGTTTTGCCGACAGCATTCAATGAGCTTGTGCGATCTATTCAGCTTCAGTCACCACGGCCGACGCCATCATATTTATTGTGTGCAGAGCCACGTCTTGGTCTTGGCTTTCGTCTGCCACTAGACTTTGCCATGGATGACCAGTTGCGCGAGGCTCTTGTGGTGTCTGATGATTCTTTGGTGAAGAGTGTGGGTTTTGAAGGCAGCCATGGCAATTCTAACTTTTTCAACGCAGGCCATCACGGCGTTTCCAAATTGTTACCTGCGGAGTTGATTTCAAGTACAACGAGCCTGCGACATTCTCTGGGAAGTGTTGAGGAGAAGACGAGTGCTGGAATTGAATGCGGCACGCCGTTTGCAGCAGTTGCGGGGTGTGGGTCACGGCGGATGGTCGTAGTGGCGTGTTACGAGCCACCTGCACGTGGTCGTGTTTTGTGGCAGTTGCTCTTTGAACGCCTTCTTCGCACCACATTGGCGCGCTTCTCGGCAGTTCAAGGAGGAGGAGTAAGAGATGATGGCGAGGAACAAGGGAGGGGAACAGCGCCCATTAGTGTCGTGTGGTGCGCAGGGGGGCAGGAGTTGTCTCGGAAGAACGACAAGTTTAACACCTTTATTGTACGCCCGCAGCAACTTGTTGTGCCCATCAACGGCGACGGTGCTGTGGACGACGGTGCCAGTGACACGCTGCTGCTTGACGGTTCCTTTTGTGTGCAAGAAATTACGCTTGACTCAAGAGGTGCCTCGTTTCCGGTGCTGCGTGAATTACTTCAGCTGCAGTGTGAGGAGGAGGGGGAGGAAGAAGATAAAAAGGAAGTGGGAGGAGGGCCGCGACGAGATGAAAAGAAGAAGAAGATGGTGGAACCCACCGTCTTCTCAGCTTATCTGGGCGTCTTTTGTTTGCGTATCCGAGACGAATGTGTGTCGATAAGCTTCCTCTCATCGGCGACGCGGCACACTTTGGGGGAATTTATCACCTTCTGCCACCGCACACTGGACACCGTTTCGGTGGGCAACCACTTCGGCCAGAGCACATCAATTATTTACTGCAATACACGACACGAGGTGATGCCGTTTAGCATTCTGCTTGAGCCCGCAAGTGCGGGGGGGACCACCTCGGTGCTGGTGGAGGAGCCCATCATTGGTGATCCACTGGCGCTCATTCACGTCAGCGGCCTTGAGCGCGTAAAGGTGCTTCTGCGTGTGTTTCCGTTTCCTGCCGCACCCCTGACATCATCGCATTCGCAGGGAAGGATGGCGAAACGCTTGGAAAAGATTGTTCAGAATTACTTGTCGCAGTTGCCGGATTCTGTGTGTGTGCATCACTTGGGGACGACGATGCTTGGGTCACGCGCCGCGCTGGAGATCCACTACGAACAGATGGTTGACGACGACGACAGTGACGCGGGTTTGCTTGCGCTGGACGAAGAAGTCGGGCATATCAACCCCTTCGCTAGTTACTGGGGCACATCATCGTACTCCGCAGTGGGCATCAGCGCAGCAGGGAGTGCGGCGAAGTCAACGTTTTCTTCTTTTGCCCCTGCCGGGGCACCCACGTTGACTTCTTCGTGCTCAGTTGACCCGCTGCTGCTGCGCTCATCCTCCCGTGACTCCCGTGAAGAGATCGCGTCGATGCGTGTGGCGGTGGTGTTGTGCTTTGAGGGTTTCGGCTTTTTGTTTATTGCGTCCTCCATGGATTACTCGCTTAACGCCGTGCGGCAGGTGGTGCGCCAACTGGCCGCCAACGTGTCGGTCGGAACAGGTGTCCCCACTTAGACATGTGCAAGCCTATTTACTTCAAATCATTACCAATACCACCGTCTCTCTCCCTCTTTTTTTTTTTTTTTTCCTTTCTCGTGTTGGAGGCTTCTTGGGCCTTTTACACAGCTTGTTTTAGATTTTAAGCATGTTGTCATGTCCCTTTTAGCGCCCTTTTTTTGTGTTTGTACACAAAGAATTCGGAAGCAATATATATATACGAAAAAAAAGGGCCAACGAGGAAGATGTTTTACTGCCGCTGGAAGGATGAAAGTAACGGCAGCCGTGATGAAGCAATGAAAGGAGGTGGGGTGGGAAACACGGCAGGTGAACATTTTCTTGCTTGTTTTGTTGTTTGCAGTACTCACTCCCGCATTTCCCCTCCCCCTTACTTTTTCCTTTTTTTTTTTTCCTTTTTTATTCCTCTTTTTCATTATCTCTACGTATATTTATTTATTTTTTTATAGTCACCCTTTTTAAATTTGCCTCCGCAGGCTGAGTGGCAATCAGGCGAGCACAACAACACATCAGGTGACGTCATGGGACTTCTCTGCAACGCGAGTATCTTCGCCCTCATGGTGCTGCCCCTGTTTCTGCTCAGCAAAGGGCACCACGTCGAATTCAGGCGTCTCATTGCACTTGCGGCGATTATCGCGTCGTGTATGATCTCCGAGTCGACATTGTTGGGTTCCCTTGCCGGGGTGCCGCCGCTGCAGCACATTGTCACGGTTGTGGTGGTACCCGTTCTTGACACGCTCTTGATGGATTTTGTGTTGAACGATCCCAAGGCGCGGAAGGTGTTGCGCATCCACGACGCCGGCGATGATGCCGCGGCGGTGTTAACTGCACTCTGGACAGCGGTGGATCTCTTGTTATACCGCTGGTTCCGCTGGTATCACTTCATCAGTGGGCTTGGCTTTGATGCGGAGAACCTTGTGTCGGCGGTGGAGGCATTTGTTGATCTCAACGCGCGGCTTCTCTCGTCACGACGCATAAACGGCTGGAGTCATAACAGCGTTAAAAGTAACTCGAAACGTGGGGCGTGGATAGATGTTGCAATTGTGCGTGTCATAATGACAGCGGTTGGCGTGGCGAGTGGATCCACGCTGATTGGCAACGTTTTATTCACCGCGGCTTTGGTGCTGATGCAGCTGCTCCTTCCTCCACTTCCAGAAAACGGCAGCAGGGAGGAATAAAACATACGTAGAAATGAAAATACTTAACCGTGTGTCATTTCCACACACATTGGTTTTCTGAGAAGAATAAACGGCTAGAAAATGGAATATATATAATATTACGACATTTAATTTTCCCGGGTTTCCACTGCTCAACGCAACAGCCATTTCCGTAAACTCACGCACTCTCTCGGTTCATTTTTTTTTTTTTGTTTCTCCTCTCTCTCTCTGTGTGTGTGTGTGTTTCTGTTATTCTTCGTCGCGAATACAAAAAGACTTAGTGCTGCGTGCTTAGAGCTCAAATGGAGGCACTTGTAGCAAAGGCGGTAGAACGCCTTGGGAAGAAGAAGCTGTGGCTTGTTGTGCACACCCTGCGTCGCATGAATGCGGCGGACTGCACTGTTGCCGGTGCACGTGAGGCGCTTCGCGGCATCCGCCTGTACGTTGAAGACGATAAATTTGCGGAAGTCGCTGCGCAGTTTGTCGGAAAAGATGGTGCCACGTTCAACGTCGCCGCATTTGTGCGGGCGTTTTTGGCGACGTTGCCGCCACGTCGCCAGTACGCCGTCAGTCTTGTGGTGCGCAAACTTGACCCGGAGTCGAGCGGCTTTGTCAGCTTTGACACGCTGCGGGAGATGTACGATGTGATGCGGCACCCGCTGGTGCTGAAGCGGGCGGACCCGAGTGAACTCGTCGATGAATTCATCGCGGACTTTGAGGAGGCGCGCGAGGAGGACGGCATCACGACGGATGAACTCGCCGCGTATTACGTCGGCATCTCTCACACCACACTGCATGACGAGGACTTTGAGCTCCGCTGCATCCGGAGCTTTTCGCTTGACCGCCCACGAGCACGGCTCGATGCGGAGTCGCCTACGTCACATGCAGGGAAGCTGCGGAGCAGAACACTGTCCACCTACAATGCGGCAAAGCACCCGCTCTACGAGACGACGTCGATGGGGTATGGCAAAGATTGTGAAAAGGTAAAGTACGACGGCAAATTCTCACTCAAACACTGCTTCACAAAGCACGCACCGATGCAACGAGGAGGCGGTGCCACATCCATGAACATGTAATTAAAGGGTGAAGTTGATATATATATATATATGTCTCTGTGTTTCCAGGAACCGAGCTTTCAGCAACACGCAGACCCCCTTTCTTTGTGTTGCAACGTTTGTCCCGTGGCAACTTGATTTTCTGCCATTTTCCTAACAGCATCGTTTTTAAAAAGAAAACCATCTGCTTCTTTTCTTTATTTTCACCCTGCCTGTTTATTCTTTTCTACTTATTAAGTTATTTCCCCCCCACTTTTTTTTTTTTTTTTTGGGTTGTTGTTTTTGTCGTGCTTTTTCTTGACGCATAGATACACAGTGGCCTCTCACGCATTCTCATTTTAGTCCCCCCTAACCCTCTCCTAGTGTGTTGTGGCATTTGCCATGGCGGAGTGCTTTTGCGCCGAATTGATTCTTAAAAAAGGACCCGAAACGCTGCAGCGACGCATATCTCTACGGATACCGAAGGACGGCACGCCCGTCACGGTGGGACGTGCGCCGGAGAACGATATTGTTCTCGATGCAAATCTGGTTTTTGCGTCGCAAAGACACTGTCAGTTGTTTGTGCGTCCCGTGATGGTTACTACGAGTGATGAGGATGCGGTGAAGGAAGAGAGGAAGGAGGGAAAAGAAGCGATAAAATCACGGCGTCAGAAGAGGCTACGGGCCGGTCGTGATGCGCTGCAGTTAGAATTATGTCTTGTTGACATGGGCAGCAGCAATGGAACATTTGTCAACGGTGTCCGCGTGGAGGTGAATGCCGTCACGCCGCTGCGTCGCTGCGATATGCTCGTTCTTGGCGGGATGCGTGACATCGCGGTGGGTGCATCTTTGCCAGTAGACGTGGTGACTTTTGCACCGGAGATTGTCACCTGGTGTGTTGCCCTCAATGAGGGTGAAGTCAACTTGGACTACGTGGCAACCCCGCCGGTGGTACTTTGCGCGGACTTCGTCGAGGCGGAGGAAAAGCGGATGGCCCTGGAGCTTTTGCAGCGCATGACATCACCGCCCCCAGCGAGCCACGGATTCACGACAGCAGTGACACCGCCACCGACAGTTCTTAAGCGATGGAACGAGGCGCAGTCAGGGCAGGAGAAGGAGGAGGAACACAACAAAACACCGCAAACGCCTGCCGCTCGTGAGGTTGTTCTGAGGGACCATGCGGACAACAATAACAGTGAAAACAACGAAGCGGCGAATGCCCAGGATGAAACAGGTGCATCCACGCGGCGCTCCGGCACTGTTGCCGCAGAAATACTTGTGCACGGAGACACTATGGGGAATGCCACTCACCTCTTTGTAATACTCCGTGCGGTACGGGTTGGGATGCACAACTTTTTTCTGTCGCGCGCCAAGAACGCGGCGAGAAAGGGTGGACGCTTGCGTATTGGAGACACGCGAAAAAAAGGCAATCAACTGTCGCACCTCTACACACTCACACTCACAGAGACCCATTGGAAGTGGGTGATGAACAACGCCGACGGCAGCTATACTGGCAAAGGAGGCAAGGTCACGAACGTCAAGCAGCAGTCGATCATTGAATATCAGCTGCCGTGGTCATATGTAGAGCGAATAATGTACTGTGAGCCCCAATATGGATTGACGGTACAGCTGCTGCTGCCGGACGTCAAAAATCTGCTGCCGCCGCTCGCGAAGCTCTCAGTGGATTCCGCAGAAAGACCGATACATGTTACATGGATGGTGGACCCAGCAAAGGATAGAAATAAAGACAACATAGAGACTGTGGGGTCTGCCCCTGTCACATTTCAGCAATTTTTGGGGGAACTTAGACGCATCTGTGCAAGAAATAAAGCCCCGGAGCCGCAGCCATTGGAGGAGTCAGAGTTCCTAGACCGTTATGCCCCAGACCTATAGAGAGAGATAGAGCAAATCCCATACGCATACATCATGCCATGAAGAATACCAGCTTTTTTTTTATTATTGTTGTTTATTATTCTCAGCTTCTCGCGCGCTAAAAGCCACGCGGCGTGCGTGGGCCGGCCCGGTGCTTCTGATGTTGTCACCGGTTGCTGACGCCCCCGCCGTGTAGTGCCTGGGAGTTGCACACAGCGCCATAGATTGGCCCTCTTTTTTTTCTTTACACACCGCTGTTTTTACTTGTTGTTTGTGTGTGTCTCCGTGGGCCGTGCTGAGACGTGCTCTAATTGACGCGTTCACATACGGTGCACATGCGCACTGCGGATGCACGGCGATGCGCGCGTGTCCGTGTCGCGACCTGCTCTCGCCGCCCCCATTCTGTTGTTTCTGTGTTCTTTGTGTTGTGTGTCTTGCGGCACAAACAAGGAAGCCTGCGTTGAAACATCAACAAGCGAAAAAAAGAAAACAACAAGAACAACAAGCAACAAGAATAAAAGGAGATATGTCGAGGTCGAAAGAGACGGCGCGGAGCAAGCGTACCATCACTTCCAAGAAGAGCAAGAAGGCCCCCAAGGCCCCTGGTGCGGCCACCGGCGTGAAGCACGCACAGCGCCGCTGGCGCCCGGGCACCGTGGCGCTCCGCGAGATCCGCCAGTTCCAGCGCTCCACGGACCTTCTTCTGCAGAAGGCGCCCTTCCAGCGCCTGGTGCGTGAGGTGTCGGGTGCGCAGAAGGAGGGCCTGCGCTTCCAGAGCAGCGCGATTCTTGCGGCGCAGGAGGCGACGGAGTCTTACGTTGTGTCGCTTCTCGCCGATACCAACCGCGCGTGCATCCACAGCGGCCGCGTGACGATCCAGCCAAAGGACATCCACCTCGCCCTCTGCCTCCGTGGCGAGCGCGCGTAGCCATGTGGGCTGTCCCTCCGGGACGGAAGCGCCGTCGAGTGCGTGTGAAAGCGTTAGAGTGTGCGGGTGTGTCTTCTCACGCCCGCCTTTTGGTTTTCTCCGCCACTCACTTTTCCCCCTCTTCATTGGTTTTTTCTGTTTTACACCGCCTCTCTTTTCTTTTTTTTTTTTTTTTTGTTTATTATTTTCAGCTTCTCGCGCGCTAAAAGCCACGCGGCGTGCGTGGGCCGGCCCGGTGCTTCTGATGTTGTCACCGGTTGCTGACGCCCCCGCCGTGTAGTGCCTGGGAGTTGCACACAGCGCCATAGATTGGCCCTTTTTTTTTTCTTTACACACCGCTGTTTTTACTTGTTGTTTGTGTGTGTCTCCGTGGGCCGTGCTGAGACGTGCTCTAATTGACGCGTTCACATACGGTGCACATGCGCACTGCGGATGCACGGCGATGCGCGCGTGTCCGTGTCGCGACCTGCTCTCGCCGCCCCCATTCTGTTGTTTCTGTGTTCTTTGTGTTGTGTGTCTTGCGGCACAAACAAGGAAGCCTGCGTTGAAACATCAACAAGCGAAAAAAAGAAAACAACAAGAACAACAAGCAACAAGAATAAAAGGAGATATGTCGAGGTCGAAAGAGACGGCGCGGAGCAAGCGTACCATCACTTCCAAGAAGAGCAAGAAGGCCCCCAAGGCCCCTGGTGCGGCCACCGGCGTGAAGCACGCACAGCGCCGCTGGCGCCCGGGCACCGTGGCGCTCCGCGAGATCCGCCAGTTCCAGCGCTCCACGGACCTTCTTCTGCAGAAGGCGCCCTTCCAGCGCCTGGTGCGTGAGGTGTCGGGTGCGCAGAAGGAGGGCCTGCGCTTCCAGAGCAGCGCGATTCTTGCGGCGCAGGAGGCGACGGAGTCTTACGTTGTGTCGCTTCTCGCCGATACCAACCGCGCGTGCATCCACAGCGGCCGCGTGACGATCCAGCCAAAGGACATCCACCTCGCCCTCTGCCTCCGTGGCGAGCGCGCGTAGCCATGTGGGCTGTCCCTCCGGGACGGAAGCGCCGTCGAGTGCGTGTGAAAGCGTTAGAGTGTGCGGGTGTGTCTTCTCACGCCCGCCTTTTGGTTTTCTCCGCCACTCACTTTTCCCCCTCTTCATTGGTTTTTTCTGTTTTACACCGCCTCTCTTTTCTTTTTTTTTTTTTTTTGTTTATTATTTTCAGCTTCTCGCGCGCTAAAAGCCACGCGGCGTGCGTGGGCCGGCCCGGTGCTTCTGATGTTGTCACCGGTTGCTGACGCCCCCGCCGTGTAGTGCCTGGGAGTTGCACACAGCGCCTAGATTGGCCCTTTTTT